TTCTTTCTTTCTTTCTTTCTTTCTTTCTTTCTTTCTTTCTTTCTTCTCTTTCTTTCTTTCTTTCTCTCTCTCTTTCTTTCTTTCTTTCTTTCTTTCTTTTCCTTTCTTTCTTTCTCTTTCTTTCTTTCTTTCTTTCTTTCTTTCTTTCTTTCTTTCGGTCCCCTAGCAACAACTCAGTTCCATATGGTTTAGCCACCTGAGAACCAAGTGAACTATGTGCCAGGTACTGTTCTAGGGCCTCTTCATATAGAGATAACATATGAGGAGGATCCTATGACCAATTTGGATTTAAAAAGCTTTTTCTAATATCACTCTCAATCCATGTGTACTTACTATGTGTTTTTCTATAATCCTCTTTCCAGAGCTTATCTGTGTATGTATAAGGATTGTATTCTATTGGATTCAAATATTTCTTACGCCTTTTTTTTTGAAGAATAAAAGATTGAAGTCAAGACTGGGAATATTTCAAACCTATGCTGGTTCCATGCACACTATTCAAGTTTCCTAAACTAGTCTCTTGGCAACCATGACTCAGGCCAAAAAGCAAAATGTTTGGTGGCTAGGATAATTGAGTCATTTTCCTTCCTTCTTTTTCTGTCTCTTATTATCTTAACTGAAATGAACATTATCCTAACTGGCCATATTTTCAAATGAACACAAATTTATAGCACATTAATGGTTAGGTGATTTGCTTTCATTGCATTTTATGTTTCATGGAGACACCTTGTCACTTTCCGAATTTAAAATATGGATTCATGATCCTTTATGGAAAAAAATGTTGGAATTATGATATTTTCATAGGCTTCTCTAAATACTTACAATTTCTCAATCCCTTAGTTTATAAGTCTTTGCAACTTACAAACCCACATATGTTCCCCAAATGGAGACATACCTAATCCCTGGATGGATTTGTCCAGCACTGGGAAAGGGCCTCTGCCAGAAAACACCTCACTCTGATCAATTAGAGCTTCCTTTACTGCTTCATATCCGTATATCACCACAGTGGGCTTGATGCCAAAGTACACAGTGAACACAGGGCCGTAACTCTCTGCTAGCTGGGAAAGCAACATAAGGTACAGGAGTAGTGAGAATTTCAAAACTAAAAATGTAGATAAGTCTCTTTACTCAAGAGATATTTTATACTCATTCACCTAATATAAAAGATCTCAACTTCTAGAACTAGTAACTTAATCACATTAAGTGGTAATTATATTATTAGACACATTGCTATTATTATTATCGTCATCAATAGTTAACCTTTATTCAGCTCCTACTATGTGACAGATATTATATTATGGAATTTATTCATATTCTTTTATTAACTGTTGTCTGCCAAACCTACAGCTGCACCAAATTTCTTTCTTCCTATAGTTACAATAATGTGTTTCTTGTCCTGCTTAAGGGAGGCTCCTCCATCTTGTCCCATGTGTAGACTACCAATCATCCCTCATTATCCACTCTCTACGTCTTTTTAGCACTAGAGACCTCTAAATACATAAGGACGTGGCAACATGGTCGCAGACATTTCCCAGCTTCCCTGTGCGGCCATGTGACTAAGTTTTCGTGAACTGATATTAGCAGAAATGATGTGTGCAAATCCTACGCTTTTGTATAAATGGTAATTGCATGCCCTCCATTTCTCCCCCTACCCGGGGACTGAAAGGACAGCATGGGAACAACCTCACTGCCTCCATGCACATGAGAACAATAGCCTAGGTGCCCAGGATGGTCAACTAGAAGACAAAGAAAAACTGGTTCCCTAGATGACCGCAAGGAAGAGAGGCAGCCCAGCAGCACTCACCTCGATCTCATGATGTGAGATAGAAATAAGCTCTTATCTTCCTGAAGCCATTGTGTTATTGGGGTCTTTCTGTCATGGCAGCTTCTTTGGTATACTAAATTACTCCTTCAACTTGTCCAAGGTTTGAGTCCTCCTGCTACCTTACAATTCATTCTCCATAAAGCAACCAGAGTGCTCTTTTCACAAGGCAAATGTTAACATGAGAGTCCTTTAAGCACGTTAATGGCATCACATTGCTCTTGTGCTAAAGACCAATATTCTTTTTTTTTTTTTAATGTTTATTTTTGAGAGAGCGAGAAAGAGAGAGAGATAGAGCACAAGCAAGGGAGGGGCAGAGAGAGAGGGAGACACAGAATCCGAAGCAGGCTCCAGGCTCTGAGCTGTCAGCACAGAGCCCGACATGGGGCTCGAACTCATGAACCGAGATGGCTTGAGCCGAAGTTGGACACGTAAGTGACTGAGCCACCCAGGTGCCCCAGGACCAATAGTTTTAAAAGCCTTGTAAGACTTGCATTTCTGGCAACTATTTCTCCAATCATATCCCACACCATGTTTTTACCAAATTGGTCCTCTTTCAGAGACAATAACAACTAATTCTCCTCCAGAATGAAACCGCCTGGAATGAACTTCCATCTGCATTTTGTCTGGTTAATGCTTGAACATTCTTTAGATCTCAGCTTCAGCTTCACTTCCTCAGAGAACGCTTTGCTGACATTCCTCCCATTCCTGCTCCACCGAGCTGCATGGCCTCTTTCTATTGTGTCCCTGTTACATGGTTTGTAATCACACACTTATTTGCGTGATTATTTTACAAACCATGCCTACCCTATAGACTATAAATTCCATAATGCCAGTGTCTGTTTTTTCTTTTTCATTTACCATTGAAAATCCCCAGCACTGGGGCACCTGGATGGCTCAGTCAGTTAAGCATCCGACTTTTTGATTTTGGCTCAAGTCATGATCTCACAGTACATGAGATCAAGCCCCATGTCGGACTTTGTGCATGGACCCTGCTTGGGATTCTCTCTCTCTCCCTCTGCCCCTCCCCTGCATGCTCTCTCTCTCTCTCTCTGTCTCTCTCAAAAATAAATAAATAAACTTAAAAAAAAAAAAATCCCCAGCATCTAACAAAGTAGATATTCAATAGCTTGTTGAATATATGATATATTGAAGGACCCTGCACAAAATAGAACTGTTATTCACATTTCAAAGGAATGGAAATTAACACTGAGAGAGATTTTTAAAACTTGCCCAATGCTGTGAGTTAACAAGCAGATGAGCTAGGGTGCTGACATAATCTCTTTCAATCTCTTAGCGCAAAACACAGAAAGGGGTTTCCAGAAGCTGTGCTCTGGTAACTAGCTGTCTCAGCAAAGACAGATTTCAGACAATCCCTTCAAGATTTAGAGAGGTACTGCTATATAAATAGCTATGAATAGAGTAGTTATTCACACATTCATTGAGCAAATATAATAGAAACAATTCTGGGACCGTATTTCCTTGACTTAAAAAAATGTGTGTTTTTAGGAAATTTTTAGTGTTGTGATCTGTAGATCAGAACTTTTTTTTAAATTGAAAACAGTTTCATTGCCATTAGAGTTTACCAAAGAATAATTACTGAAAAGGGGACCTGCTCACAACATGGACAGGGAATTCCTTCTTTTGGCAATTTTAACAATCATCTCATGGATCTCATCCTCTCTGGCAACCTTCTAGCTGGATACCCAATGAACACTTCTCTTTAAAATCACTTCTTTTCTTTTTAATATGAAATTTATTGTCAAATTGGTTTCCATACAACACCCAGTGCTCATCCCAACAGACGCCCTCCTCAATGCCCATCGCCCACCCTACCTTCCCTCCCACCCCCCATCAACCCTCAGTTTATTCTCACAGTTTTTAAGAGTCTCTTATGGTTTGGCTCTCTCCCTCTCTTTTTTTTTTCCTTCCCCTCCCCCATGGTCTTCTGTTAAGTTTCTCAGCATCCACATAAGACTGAAAACATATGGTATCTGTCTTTCTCTGTATGACTTATTTCACTTAGCATCACACTCTCCAGTTCCATCCACATTGCTACAAAAGGCCATATTTCATTCTTTCTCATTGTCAAGTAGTATTCCATTGTGTATATAAACCACAATTTATCCATTCATCAGTTGATGGACATTTAGGCTCTTTCCATAATTTGGCTATTGTTGAAAGTGCTGCTATAAACATTGGGGTACAAGTGCCCCCTATGCATCAGCATTCCTGTATCCCTTGGGTAAATTCCTAGCAGTGCTATTGCTGAGTCACAGGGTAGATCTATTTTTAATTTTTTGAGGAACCTCCACACTGTTTTCCAGAGTGGCTGCACCAGTTTGCATTCCCACCAGCAGTGCAAGAGGGTTCCTGTTTCTCCACATCCTCGCCAGAATCTATAGTCTCCTGATTTGTTCATTGTAGCCACTCTGACTGGCGTGAGGTGATATCTCAGTGTGCTTTTGATTTGTATTTCCCTGATGAGGAGTGATGGGGAATTCTACCAGACATTTAAAGCAGAGATAATACCTATCCTTCTCAAGCTGTTCCAAAAAAATAGAAAGGGAAGGAAAACTTCCAGACTCATTCTATGAAGCCAGCATTACTTTGATTCCCAAACCAGACAGAGACCCAGCAAAAAAAGAGAACTACAGGCCAATATCCCTGATGAATATGGATGCAAAAATTTTCAACAAGATATCAGCAAATCGAATTCAACAGCATATAAAAAGAATTATTCACCACGATCAAGTGGGATTCGTTCCTGGGCTGCAGGGCTGGTTCAACATTCGCAAATCAATCAATGTGATACATCACATTAAGAAAAGAAAAGAAAAGAACCGTAAGATCCTGTCAATAGATGCAGAAAAAGCATTTGACAAAATTCAGCATCCTTTCTTAATAAAAACCCTTGAGAAAGTCGGGATAGAAGGAACATACTTAAACATCATAAAAGCCATTTATGAAAAGCCCACAGCTAATATCATCCTCAATGGGGAAAAACTGAGAGCTTTCCCCCCGAGATCAGGAACACGACAGGGACATCCACTCTCACTGCTGTTGTTTAACATAGTGTTGGAAGTCCTAGCATCAGCAATCAGACAACAAAAGGAAATCAAAGGCATCAAAATTGGCAAAGATGAAGTCAAGCTTTCACTTTTTGCAGACGATATATTATACATGGAAAACCCGATAGACTCCACCAAAAGTCTGCTAGAACCGATACATGAATTCAGCAGTTGCAGGATACGAAATTAACGTACAGAAATCAGTTGCATTCTTATACACTAATAATGAAGCAACACAAAGACAAATAAAGAAACTGATCCCATTTACAAGTGCACCAAGAATCATAAAATACCCAGGAATCAACCTAACCAAAGATGTAAAAGAATTGTATGCTGAAAACTATAGAAAGCTTATGAAGGAAATTAAAGAAGACACAAAGAAATGGAAAAACATTCTGTGCTCATGGATTGGAAGAATAAATATTGTTAAAATGTCAATACTACCCAAAGCTATCTACACATTCAACACAATCCCAATCAAAATTGCACCCCTGCAAATATGGCTGGGGCCATATTTTATTTAGATATATGGCTGTAACCGCAAACAGTTGGAAGAAAAGTAATCATACTCACCTTGCTTATGGATTTGCTTACATTATTAGTATTTATCTGCAAAATATTTCCAACGATTGGCAGAGGAGTGGGGCCAGGTGGTAGCTTCCCTTCGGCATGGTTTTGATTCCAGAGGAAAAAAAGAATCAAACAAGAAAGATAAATCACCAGAACTATGAAAAGATCCATTGTTGTACCTTGTGTAAATGCAGTTGGAAGCTTGGAATCCAAAGGTTTTATAAATACTAAGTTCCAGCTAATCATCAAACATGCACTAAATCTTCAACCTTTTGAATACTTTTTTATCTTCAGTGGATTTTGACCTATTAGCAAAGAGTAAAACAAAAACAGTGACTTTAGTATTGATAAACATCTAGGATTTCATTGGTAATCCCAACTAAAACAGTAACTCTTACTTCTTCAGAGATGATCATATTTTAACAGTAAAACTGAAAACTATCAGATTTTCAAAGGGCTGGAATTCATGATCTTGACAAATGATGAAAGAGAGTATCTCATGTCAAAAATTACTACTACATGAGCAGAAGAAAGCAGCACTCTCTCAGTGCCTTTTCACAGAAAATCCAGGAAAAGGCCAGAATTAAGAGATAGTAGGGAGAAGGCAGGGTAAAAAAGAAGAATATACAGAGCTAGTCTTTCCTAAAGAAGAGTAGAGATATCCCAACTCTTGGCAGAGCCCCTTTCTATATGTCAAGAGTTGTTTTTTTTTTTTAATTAAAAAATTTTTAATGTTTATTTTTGAGAGAGAGAGAGAGAGCGCGTGTGTGTGTATGAGAGTGAGAGAGAGTGAGAGAGAGAGAGAGAGAGAGCAAGCGAGCGCACATGAAGGGGAGGGGCAGAGACAGGAAGACACAGAATCCAAAATAAGCTCCTGGCTCCTAGCTGTCAGCACAGAGCCTAACACGGGGTTTGAACTCACAAATTATGAGATCATGACCTGAGCCTAAGTCTGATGCTTAACCAACTGAGCCACCCAGGTGTCCCAATATATGTGAGGCATTCTGACACACTTAACTCCCAAAGGGGATGCAGGGTCAAAAGACATTAGAATACAGGGATCTACCAAGTCCAAGAAATAAATCACTTAAACAGTGGAAGGTCCTTTGGCTGCATATCACCCCTCCTTCCCCTTGTACATCCATTTCCAATGAGGGTCCTATAACCAGAATACATTGCTTAATCTCACGTGGGTAAGGAAATATACTCCAGAATTCAATACTATAAATATTTGGAAGTGTCTAGAAGCTCAAAGATATGAACAAAACTTCAAGACTCAAAATACATTTGAGGAAATCCAACAAGGCACGACAAATATCACACTTAAGAAACGAGAACATGAGAGTGAGATGATCATGGAAGCTGGGGCCAGTCAGGGGGCCCTGAGAAAGGTGGTTTCAGGATGCCGTCCAAAGTCAACGGCAGCGGCTGGAACCCTGGCTCCAGCACAGGGGCCCTACCTGGAACGTCAGATATTTAGCTTCCTGTGGTATACTGATGAGCAGAACTCTTCCACTACATACCTCAGTTTTGCCTAAGGAGATATATGCAAAAACTTTCTTCAAAATTGTTGCACCATTAATAAACAAAAGAATATTCAGAGAGGAGAATTATAGGATATTCTATGCAGAAAATGTATGATGTGGTATCAGGAATGGAAGACTACAAGCATTTTGTTCCTTGGCGTAAAAAATCAGATGTAATATCAAAGAGAACCGGATACTGCAAAACACAATTGGAAATTGGGTTTCCACCTGTGTTGGAGCGCTATACATCAGTAGGAACCTTGGTGAAACCACATTTGGTAAAGGCATCCTATACTGATGGGAAGCTTTTCAATCATTTGAAGACTATTTGGCATTTTAGCCCTGGTCTTCCTGGCTACCCAAGAACTTGTACCTTGGATTTTTCAATTTCTTCTGAATTCCGCTCCCTTCTGTACTCTCAGCTTGCCACATCATTTTTCGATGAAGTTGTAAAGCAGATGGTAGCTGCCTTTGAAAGAGGAGCATGTCTGGGACCTCATCAAAATAAAAAGCTTCTGCACAGTGAAGGAAACAATCAGCAAAACTAAAAGGCAACCAACAGAATGGGAGAAGATATTTGCAAATGACATATCAGATAAAGGGTTAGTATCCAAAATCTACAAAGAACTTCTCAAACTCAACACCCAAAAAACAAATAATCCCGTGAAGAAGTGGGCAAAAGACATGAATAGACACTTCTCCAAAGAAGACATCCAGATGGCCAACCGACACATGAAAAAATGCTCAACATCACTCGCTCATCATCAGGGAAATACAAATCAAAACCACAATGAGATACCACCTCACACGTGTCAGAATGGCTAACATTAACAATTCAGGCAACAACAGATGTTGGCGAGGATGTGGAGAAAGAGGATCTCTTTTGCATTGTTGGTGGGAATGCAAGCTGGTGCAGCCACTCTGGAAAATAGTATGGGGGTTCTTCAAAAAACTAAAAATAGAACTACCCTACGACCCAGCAATTGTACTACTAGGCATTTATCCAAGGGATACAGGTATGCTGTTTCGAAGGGACACATTCACCCCCATGTTTATAGCAGCACTATCAACAATAGCCAAAGTATGGAAAGAGCCCAAATGTCCATGGATAGATGAATGGATGGAATGAATGGAAATAAATGGATAAAGAAAATGTGGTATATATATACACAATGGAGTATCACTCGGCAATCAAAAAGAATGAAATGTTGCCATTTGCAATTACGTGGATGGTACTGGAGGGTATTATGCTAAGTGAAATTAGAGAAAGACAAAAATCATATGACTTCACTCATATGAGTACTTTAAGAGACAAAAACAGATGAACATAAGGGAAGGGAAACAAAAATAATATAAAAACAGGGAGGGGGACAAAACAGAAGAGACTCATAAATATGGAGAACTGAGGGTTGCTGGAGGGGTTGTGGGAGGGGGGATGGGCTAAATGGGTAAGGGACATTAAGGAATCTACTCCTGAAGTCACTGCTTCACTATATGGTAACTAATTTGGATGTAAATTTTAAAAAATCAAAAATAAAGTTAAAAAAATGTAATTCTTAAAAAAAAAAGAAAAGATGGGGCGCCTGGGTGGCGCAGTCGGTTAAGCGTCCGACTTCAGCCAGGTCACGATCTCACGGTCCGTGGTTCGAGCCCCGCGTCAGGCTCTGGGCTGATGGCTCAGAGCCTGGAGCCTGTTTCCGATTCTGTGTCTCCCTCTCTCTCTGCCCCTCCCCCGTTCATGCTCTGTCTCTCTCTGTCCCAAAAATAAATAAACGTTGAAAAAAAAAATTAAAAAAAAAAAAAGAAAAGAAAAGAAAAAAGAAAATCACATAAGCTGTATGGTCCAGAAACAAATATACCTCGGAATTAAGGCTTCATGAAGTTCATCACACATAAAGGGAAAAAAAGGATTGGTCACCTGTTTGTAACCTTAGTTTATTCACTTTTAGGCAGTGCTTTTATCATTTGCTTTCAGAAGTTAGAAAGCATTTGTTAAACCCAGCTTTGATTTTAAGCCTACACCGCTGAGAATTTGCATTTGGAACATGGAACCACGTGTATACAGAATTCATTCAAGTGTAATTCATGCAAGTAATGTGCATATTAGCATATTTACAATAATGGGATATCATCACTCTTAAGCAGAAATTGAAACTGTAGACTTAAGCCTTTTAATTATGACCTTACCTGAAAGAGGTTAGTTGAGTTCCTCACACAGTATGTATTATATTAACCATTATCACCTTTAAGTTATTAAATTCAGACTATTTATAACTTATTGTCATAGGGCCTGCCTCTTGGCTTAGGATATCCGAGTAATCATCAGATATTTAAAGTAGAAACTTAGACTTAAAAATACTGTTAATGAGGGTTCCTTGGCACTTTTCTTATTTTTAAATTGTTCTTATGGGTATTCAGTGCTATATATAGTGAGATTAACTCCCAGATTAAACAGTGAATATTTTTTTGGTGAGTGGTCCAGAGCTTTAATATATTTTTCTTATAGTTTGCACCCCTCTCCCAGGTACTTTGACTGCTCTTTCAATAATGCTGATTATGTGTCAAATTTTGTCTACAACAGTGGGCAACACATGAAGATGAGTTGGTTGATATGTCTCCAGCACCATGCATCCCTGTTTTCCATTTATTGTGTGTATTCACTTTCAATAATGTATCTCAAACTGATATTTTTATAAACAAATCAATGTCTAAGGACTGAAATAGTAACTTAATAAAGTTAATTTATTTTTTGTACAGCTAAAAAAAAAAAAACAAAAACAAAAAAACAAAAAAACAAAACAAGAACGTTAGGGGTGCCTGGGTGGCCCAGTTGGTTAAGTGTCCAACTTTGGCTCAGGTAATAATCTCAGGGTTCATGGGTTTGGGCTATGTTTCAGGTTCTGCCCTGACAGTGCAGAGCCTGCTTGGGATTCTCTCTCCCACTCCCACTTGCATGCTCTCTCTCTCTCTCTCTCTTTCTCAAAATAAATAAAACTTAAAAAAAAAAATAAGAATACTAATCCCTGAGGAAGTTAACCTTGAGGAAACAAAAATGGTTAAAATAAGTAAAACATCATAAGATATATTTAGCCATTTAAAAAGAACACGTTATTAGAAAAAGTTCTTGGTAATTAACAATACAATTACAAAACCTTTTTTTTAAGAGAGAGCGAGAGCGAGAGCAAGAGCATGCACAAGCAGGAAGAGGGGCAGAGGGAAGACGGAGAGAGAATCGTAAGCAGGTTCCATGCTGCCCAGCACAGAGCCTGATGCAGGGCTCTATTTCATGACGGTGACATCATGCCCTGGGCCCAAATCAAGCGTCAGACACTTAATTGACTGAGCCACCCACATGCCCCAAAAGCATGTTTTATTTTTATTTAAATGGGTTAGTTAACATATAGTGTAATAACGATTTCAGGAATAGAATTTAGTGATTCATCACTTACATATAACACCCAGTGCCATCCCAACAAGTGTCCTCCTTAATGCCCACCACCTATTAAGCCCATCTCTCCACCCAACACCCTTCAGCATCCTTCAGTTTGTTCTCTGAATTTAAGAGTCTTTTATGGTTGTCTCCCTCTCCGTTTTAATCTTATTTTTGCTTCCCTTCCTTTTGTTCATCTGTTTTGTTTCTTAAATTCCATATATGAGTAAAATCACATATTGGTCTTTTTCTAATTTCACTTAGCATCCACGTTGTTGCAAATGGCAAGATTTCATTCTTTTCGATTGCCAAGTAATATTCCATATATTATATATATGTACCACATCTT